ACAGAAACAAAGCTCAAACATGCCAAGATTTGCAGATGTTTATATATCAATTAAATGTTTGTTGGATAAATGTCACACCACTAAGTTTTGTAATTTTCACATGCTCATGGCTCCACTTTGAGTCATTTTACCAGCTTCAGTCTCTGCATCTTGTGTAGTTTTAATTTCTATGCTCGGCCCTTCCATCTTAGTGCTTGATGGCGGTTTTCTTATTGGCTTTTTACTGTTCCCAGCTATTATAAGACTTCCAGGAACATTGACATAAAGACGTACCCTAAAAGAGAGAAAAAACATTTAGGAAACCCCTTGTTAAGTTATATATTTTTCAGAATCATCTGGTACAGTTAAGAGGAAAAGTTGTTGAAACGGTTTGAAAGAGAGATGAAGCATTGACTTATTTGAAGGATTTCGTGCAAGAAGGGCGTAAATCGCTTTTTGGACCGATTTTCATATTTTGCACTTGTTTTGACATGAAAAGCATCATAGTGTAATTACTTTTGTTGATTTGCCCTTCATTTTGGAGAAATAGCGTATGCAAAAAACTCAGTTTTCCAAGTGGCACCTTTTGGAGCAAATCCTTTGAAGGTGGATTTCAATGAGACGCAAACTTAAATGGTTACTTTTAGCAGCTTTGACAGCACGGTTTTTTCAACAGAAGCGGCAAATGCTACGCTTCGGTGACTTCGACGCTTAGCAAGACAACAGGTTTCTTCTGTCTTTTGTTCAACAAAAGACCTCCAAAAGATGCCCTTGGAAAACTGAGTTTTTTGCATATGTTATTTCTCCAAAACGAAGCATAAATCAACAAAATACAATTGAGCAACAATGCTTTTCATCCCAAAACAAGTCAGTCTGCCAAAAATAAACTCGATCCTGAAAAAATGAAAACCGGCCCAAAAAGCGATATACACCCTTTCTGCATGAAACCCTTCATTTATAAGCCATTCATAGTATTTATAAGATGCAGTAATTGAACAGCATACGGTATTAGCAACAATATTCTCACTGATACTATCAAAATGTCTAATAATTATATATTTTTTATTTTAAAGTATGAGATTTTGAGTTGTGGTAGACAGGTTAAATTATTGTGAAAATTAAGTACATTATTTTATTGCATTTAGTTTTTACCTTTGGTTAAATTTCTTTATTTGAACTTTTGTGAATAGTAAGGGATTTACCATGATTTTTTTTGAGCAGGGGTTTGGGCAATTTCCCAAAACGAATTCCTGCACAGCAAAAAAGCTCTAAAAAATGGTGCAAGGAAAACCATGGAAAACAATCTAGCGAGTGCTTTCCACTATCATTATAATCATGTTAAAAAAATTCTTGCACAAGCTATTGGCCAACCAAAAAATCATGCACAACCTAAAGATGAGGGAAAAAAATCCATGCCCCAGAAAATTGCCACCCCCCTTCACAAAAATAATGGTATATCCCTAAGTCTGTTTTATTTGTTTATTTTTTTAATTTACAAAGTGATGTTAATAAATTCAGTAACTGACAGAATTGATGGTAGACTCCTGATGTTTATTTGGTCAATTTCAATCAATGGGATAATAACAAGTGTTTATAGGNTTTTAAAGTATGAGATTTTGAGTTGTGGTAGACAGGTTAAATTATTGTGAAAATTAAGTACATTATTTTATTGCATTTAGTTTTTACCTTTAGTTAAATTTCTTTATTTGAACTTTTGTGAATAGTAAGGGATTTACCATGATTTTTTTTTGAGTGGGGGTTTGAGCAATTTCCCAAAACAAATTCCTGCACAGCCAAAAAAGCTTTATAAGATAGTGCAAGGGAAACCATGGAAAACAATCAAGCAAGTGCTTTCCACTATCATTATAATCATGTTAAAAAAAAAATTCTTGCAAAAGCTATTGGCCACCAAAAAAATCATGCACAACCTAAAGTTGAGGGGAAAAAATCCATGTCTCAGAAAATTGCCACCCCCCTTCACAAAAATAATGGTATATCCCTAAGTCTGTTTTATTTGTTTATTTTTTAATTTACAAAGTGATGTTATTAAATTGAGTAAGTGACAGAATCGAGGGTAGACTCTAGACTTTTATTTAGTAAATTTTAATCAATGGGATAATAACAAGTGTTTATAGGCGCAATGTGCCATGGGAATTGTGATTTTTAGTAAGCAAAAATGCTTGATGCTGACAACCAACTGCAGACAGCAACTGTTAAGAATAGAAAACAGCACTTGCAAGGAGAAAATAACACTGAATACTAACAAAAAAGAAGAATCACAAGATCAGACAATTGCAGGTTTTCCTTTCTTGATTAAGTGAGGAACAGTAGGAGAAACAACTGTGTTTAAAGTTGCACATGGATGCTGATCTTTCACCCTATGGCACAAGAAAATCAAGAAAGATTTAACAAGCCTTGACTGTGATATAGCGTCATTTTGTTTGAGTTTTGTGAAGCAAAAAGCTAGTAAGTCTGTAAGTTGTATTGAAAACTTTTGCTGTAGTTATGAAAGTTTAAAAGGTTTATTATAAATAATTTTCTACAATGTAGACAGTTCAGGAAAATAAACAGCTCAGAACTGCAATAAAATAATTTTATCATTATAGAATATTCATGTAGAATATCTTTGGTGTTTTATGATTTAGATGTCACATTACAGGTTTAATGATCAGCTTTATAATAATTAATTCAGTTTCACCAACAAACTTTAGGGCAGATTTTCTTGAAATAAATGTTTTAAAAGAGAGCTTGAAATTCCAGTGGAAACACCAGGATTTACAAACTCTGGTCTGCTAACTATCCAAATTAAAATATAAATTAAAATTCAATAATTTGTTACTGTCAATAAAACAAATATAATTATTTAAATGCCTCAAATACACACAGGTACGATTCATAAACTTGGCCCATGCAAAATCAGCAGGCAGAAATCAGCTAGTCTTATTCAAATTCAAAAAATGAACAATACATGCTAAAAATTCTTGTTTTTTACCACAGCTTTGTTTAGAACCAAATCGTGCACCAACTTGGGGAGATACACCCTTCACAGAAATGAAAATTCTTGTTTTTGTACAATTCCAACTGAAATTCCCTTGAAATAATTATTATTTCTCCACATAGTACGAAACTACACACTTAACAAAAATCTTGCAAACTGCACTTATCATCTGTTTTGAGTTTGTAAAGTTAAGAAACTGTGAATGGCCACAGTTTAGCCTTCACACGAATTTACATGTACCGGTAATCATCCATTTTCTTTTGAAATCATCCCCAAAAACTTTGAAAAAACAAGGAAAACGACACCACTCTGTAAACAACATACAGCCATTGCACACTAATGGCTGATAGCGTATCACTATGTTAGTTCAGGCAATCCAATTGCAGCATTTGCATTAGTGTAAAAGTAGAATTCTACCAATCATTATTATTCCTATATATGTACATGTGTGCATATTAATTTTTGTTGAAAAGTTGTTAGCCAAAAATTCCAAACCTGTCTTTCAGCTGCTCAACAAGATATGCAAACTTTCTGTACTGCAAGGCACCAAATTCCTAATAAGAGAAAGCTGACAGAATTAATTACCATAATTTTTATTATAACTTAATATATTAAATAATATAATTTCCACACTTTCTCAGTTTTGTTTGCTGTCTTTAAGAAATTGCTTAGGCTGTAATGTCAGTTATCTCTCACCCTCAGCACTAGCCCTGGGCAAGAGACTCGCTGAAGGTAATGCTAAGGGTGGGTGATGACTGGTATTTCAGACTAGAAATCAGTTCAATTTAAGGTTTTGATCACTTTACACAGTTACTAATCATCACATGTTATCAAGTTTAAAACAGTTTCTGTAAATAAGATGAGTCAGGGTATCATTAAGTCACATACCTTAGTTTCAAATCTGGCATGTTCATACATATCGGCGACCTCATTTATAGTGTCATCTCCACCTCGTATCACATTGCATGGTGGCTTCTGAAGAGACTTGAGGTGTTCTCTGACAGACTGCTTGTTTTTACGACTGTACTTGAAGTCAATCGTGCATAAAAGGTCATCTGTTGTGTCGTGAATAGCATCAAAGGAAAAAGGACATTACTGTATCTCTCTATAACATGCTAACTCTAAAATTCAAAGCTCAACCGACAAATGCGTTTTTCTCAACAGTGCTCATCAGAAGTCACAAGCTGAAAGAAGCCGCCAAACATTTGATTGATGGTAGCGAAAAATGCATTTGTTGGTTGAGCTTTGAATTTTAGAGTCCGCATGTTGTTGAGAGGCAAAGTAAAAGGCAGCAACGAAAAATAATATCATTAAAATTAATGTTGATATTGGCACAAGACAGGTTAAAATCAGAATACTGATAAAGTAAAAATTAAGAACAAAATAGTACAGAAAAATGGCATATTTTACAAACCAAGCTCAGTCATTTTATCCATAGCCTTCATTCGGTATTTGTAGCTTCTTGTATATTGATCTGTTAGAAACAATAATGGCCACAACACAGTGAGACTGAAGCGCACAAATACAATGTAATTTTAGTGAATGAGATAGAATATACATTTTAACAATAACAAAAATTCTAGACAAGAAGCTAATAGAGGTGTTTTGACTGGTTCAGTGAATTATCTTCCACTATCCTATGTGACTGGCCAGAGTGATTACTTCAGATTTGGTTTTACGACACTCATTATTGACATGTAATACCTGATGGGGAATCAAAGTTTGTTGTTCCATCTACTGGTTTATTAAATTGTTCTGACAACATTCTAGGTTCCATTCTTAGCTGTGAAATTCTTTGTAGCTGTGCTGAAATCTCTCTTCCCAAACTCTGCCAAGAAAACAGGAATTACACTGTTTTGAATGTACTGTTAGAAATAGTTGTCTTATATAGACCAGATCATGACATTCTCTGGACAATAATTATGATAGTTTGTCAAAAAGTTACAATGTATACATCCATCATCTAGTTCAAATAAATTTAATGAAAGAATACGGTAAAATATATTTCTGTTAAAAATCAACTTAAAAATTAATAAGCTGTTAAATCTTACATGTAGATGCCAAAATCTGCCAAATATAAGCCTTTTGATTATAAACTCAAGGGCATGTATTTAGATTTAGC